TAATTTTGGAAAAGGTGGCAAAGTTGGAGGTCAAACTACCTGATTTTAAGACTTATTATAAAGCTATAATAATCAGGATAATGTGGTACTGGAAAAAGATAGACACATAGATCAATGGAACAAAATAGAAAGTCCAAAAATAATGCCACACAAATATAGCTATTTGATCTTTGACAAAAGTGTAAAAGTGACTCAGTGGAAGGTGGTCTTTGAGATAGTGTTAAACTATTTGGTCATCCCTATGCAAAGAAAAAAAAGAAACTTGACCTAAACCTCACACCTCATACAATAATTAATTCAAAATGGATCATAACCTTAAATGTAAAACATAAAACTATCAAATTTTTAGAAGGAAACATATGAGAATATACTCATGAGCTGGGGTAAGGCAAAGAGTTCTTAGAAATAATACCAAAAAATCTAAAGAAGGTTTTAGATAAAAGAAAAAAATTTAAATTTAAAGACATTTTCTTTGCCAAAAACACTTTCAAGAGAATGAACAGACAAGCTACATATGCAATGGAAATATTTGCAAATCACATATTCAACAATGGACTTATATCCAGAATGTATAAAGAACTCTCAAAACTAAACAATAACCCAATTTAAAAGCAAGCAAAGGCTTCCCTAGTGGCTCAGTGGTTGAGAGTCCGCCTGCCGATGCAGGGGACACGGGTTCGTGCCCCAGTCTGGGAAGATCCCACATGCCGCAGAGCGGCTAGGCCCGTGAGCCATGGCCGCTGAGCCTGCGCGTCCGGAGCCTGTGCTCCGCAAGGGACAGGCCTCGGCATTGGGAGGCCCATGTACCGCAAAAAAAAAAAAAAAAAAAAAAGCAAGCAAGAACTTGGACACTTCACTGAAGAAGATATATGAATAGCAACTAAGCTCATGAAAAGTTCTCAACATCATTTGCCATTAGGGAAATGAATATTAAAACCATGAAAAGAGAGGCTTCCCTGGTGGCGCAGTGGAAAGTAACTGGATGACTAGAAATTTTCCTGATAAAGTTGAAATACTTAAGTACTGGTAGTAGGCAATATTTCTTAACCATTTTCTTGCTTTGGAATTATACTAGGCAGAAATTTGGAAACAAGTTTAGGTGACATTGTTACTGAAAGAACCAGTTTTAACTCCCTGGAGACAAGTCTTCTTCAATATCATTAGCACAGGGATAATTTTGGTTCATGAGTGTATGGACTGAACTGTGTCCCCCCCCCCCAAATCCATATGTGGAAGCTCTAACCCACAATGTGACTGTATTTGGAGACAGGGCCTTTAAGGATGTAATTAAGGTTAAATGAGGTTATAAGAGTAGGACCTTAATACAATCTGACTGGTGTCCTTATAAGAGGAGGAAGAGACATGAGGAGTTTTTGGTGCGCAGAGGAAGGGCCATGTGAAGACACAGCAAGAAGCTTGCCGTGTGCAATCCAGGAAGAGAGGTCTCGCCAGAAACCAATCCTATTGGCACCCTGATTTTGGACTTCTAGCCTCCAGAACTGTGAGAAAATAAATTTCTATTGTTTAAGCCATACACTCTGTGGTATCTAGTTATGAGAACCCAGGCCAACTAATTCAATGAACTAATAAAAAATTTTAAAGTTTCCTCTTTTCCTTCCCTAAAAAAATCCCCACAGTTGTATGACACTGAAATTTCATACACTGAGATCTTGTATGATTTTGCTTTTCACTAAACTTCACCATCATTGTAGCCATATCTGCACACTGTAAGAAAAGCAGTATGAGACCCCTATTTTTTTTTTACTACAAATATATTTTCTAATATCAGTTTGGTTATGTGTCAATTCCTATATTTTCCTTAGTTATATCTCTGTATTAGTCTGCTCAAACTGCCATAACAAAATGTCAGGGACTGGGTGACTGAAGCAACATTTATTTTCTCACAGTTCTGGAGGCTGGAAGTCCCTGATTAAGGCTTCAGCCAATTTGGTTTCTGGTGAGAGAGCTCTTCCTAGTTTGCAGGCAGGTGCCTTCTCATCAGGTCCTCACAAGGCATTTCCTTCATGCTTGTGCTTTCTGCTGTCTCTTGTTATAAGAAACTAATCCTATCAGGTCAGGGTCCCACCCTTATGACTTCATTTAACTTTAGAGGCCTCATCTCCAATACAGGCACACTGGGGGTTAAAACTTCAACACATGAACTTTGAGGGAAACATTCAGTCTGTAACAATCTCTAAACATAACCTGCCTTTCTAGGTTATCATTTAATAAAATGTTAGAGCTCCCAAACTCCAGCAAAAAAGAGAGACAACAAAAATATGTTTGGTACATAAACACTGAGATAAAATTCAGCATTTTTTAAGTAAGTCAATGCTCCACAACACCATTCAAGTGCTACAGAAGACTTGGTCAGAGAAAACGAAATGTAAACTACAGGAATGATCTGTGAGGAGCTGGAGAGGCTATACCTATGCCTGGAAGATCAGGCAGGGAACAATGAAAGCAGTCCTCAATCACCTGGGCACTGGCAGGTAATCTGGGAACAGACTGGATACTACTGGGTGGTCTTCCAGGGAAATAATATTTCAAATACAGAACTCCCCAGCTGAGAGAGATGCAAACTGCTTTTCTTTTGATTTAGTCAGCATATGGCCACACAGTGGTCTCAGCTATTATCTGTGCTTTACCACATTCCTTGGAAAATCTACTACAATTACACTAGTACATCCAAAAGATAGGTGTCTTAAAAGGGAGCCACAGAATGAACAGTCCCAATCCACTCCTTGGGAATCTAGTCCCCAGCCAACATACTAGAGAAAAGACTTCTTAGGTTTCACCAAAATGGTACTACCATAAGGGGTACTAGGCTAAATGAAACAATGCTGTGTATATACTTTGTGAGTACAGTTGCTCTAATCTCTCCCCTTTTACTGTATCAACCCAAATGCCAGATTAATGTCTCCAGAACTCCATTGCTCCACTATTAAAAACTGCGTCTAGGGCTTCCCTGGTGGTGCAGTGGTTGAGAGTCTGCCTGCCAATGCAGGGGACACGGGTTCGTGCCCCGGTCCGGGAAGATCCCACATGCCACGGAGCGGCTGGGCCCGTGAGCCATGGCCGCTGGGCCTGCGCGTCCGGAGCCTGTGCTCCACAACGGGAGAGGCCACAACAGTGAGAGGCCCGCGTACCGCAAAAAAAAACAAAAAGAAAACAAAACAACTGCCTCTAGCCTCCTGAGTCAAGTACAAACTCCTTTGCCTAGCAATCAAGCAAGAATCTCCATAGTCAAAACCCACCATATTCAACTTTATCTTCACTACCAGTCACAACACTTGCCCCAAATGTGAGGCTCACCCCTGCTCCTTGCCTGATGTGAAAGCTCTTCTGCTCTCTCTCCTCTCCACTTGGCAACCACAGCCGTTTCATTCTTTGTGTGTCACCTCCTTCATGAAGCATTCTCTGATGACATCATATACACATGGATTCTTCCTTCAGTCAACAATTATGCATTAAGAACCATTATTCCAGAAGCTGAGAGGGCTCCTTCCTCCCAATTCTTTTTGTCCACCATTGTCTGTGACTTAGATTTAATAATGGTAATACTATCCTGGTCTCCCAATAAGTCACTTTATTATATTTGTGGAAAAGCCTCTTAAATGTTTTATTTACTAGTTGGTTCTCGCGTGCAATCTCAATTTAACTGTAGGTGATTTTCCTCATACACATCTCGTATACCTTCCACAGCACACTAGGTAAAGGGCTAAATACCTTAATATTATTTGATGTTAAATATGTTTTCACTTGCAAACCTTGTTAATACTTACTTTTGGAGGGATAGAAGGAAAGAGATATTTTCAGTTGCTGCAAATTGTCCTTAACTTTGTTAGACAAATATTTATGGAGTTCCTACTACGTGTCAGATACAGGCATAAATATTCTGTTATGATAGGGCCTTAATCACGGATATTTCCCCAGCACCCATCACTGTTTTCTGCACATAATTAATGCTCAATAAGTATGTGTTGAGGGGATATATGAATGTAGCCTCCTTGCCCTCAAGCAACTTATATTTTAATAGTGGGGGTAAATGAGATACAGGTGATGAACAAAAATAAACAAGTAGATAGGCAAGGTAATTTCAGAGCGTGATAATCACTATAGAGAAAATAAAACAGAATACTACGCAGTTGTTTGCAAATTTGGAGATTTGCTATCAGCGGAGTCAGGCGACCCCATCAGCATGGCTTGGTGGTAAGGAGGGCAGTCTCTGGAGGCAGATTTCTTGGGTTTACAGCCCTGCCTCCCTCTTTCACTGTGTGGCTCTGGACAAATGACTTAACCTTCCTGGCCTCCTATCCCGCAGGAAGTGAATCGAGGATTACAGAATTGATATGGAAAGTGTTTGGTGCAGTGCCTGGCAATCTGGGAAGTGGTCCGTAAATCTTAGTAATCATTACCGTTGGTCAGGTTAACTCACTTGGCGCTAAACAGACCCGCTCTGCCCTGAGCCCCGCCCAGATCCGCGCCCCCTGCCGAGGCAGGTAGTAGAGAAGGGCTGAGCAGGGCAGAGTTTTGACCTTGAATTGAGGTCTTAAGAGGCCATGGGGTCGGTGCCCCCCATCCGTCTGCGAGGGCGGACGGAGGTGGGCAGGCGGACTAGGGCCGCCGAACCGGGTGGGCGACGGGCCCCAGCCCTCCCTCAGGCGGCAGGCCTCGAGGGCTCGGACCCGCCCACCCCGCGGCCCGGGGCTGCGGGTCGCAGGGCGGGCTCTCCCTCTGCGCCGGCCTCTCGGGGTGCGAGTGAGAGGGCGGCGCCCCGAACCTTCTCGCCCAGTCCCCAACACAACGGTCGCCAGAGGGGAGCACCGCCCACCCAGGGTGCGAGGCCGCGGGCGGGCTCGCCAGGCGATTGGCCGGGAGGGTTGCGAGGGGCACGCGGGCGGGGGCGGGGGGCGGGCACATGCGCGCCGGCGGTGCGGCCGGCACGCGGCGCTAGCGCTCTCTGCTTAAATGAGCGTGGGCTCGCCGCGCCCGCCACTTCAGCGGGGCCTGCGCCGCGGCTGCAGGCGGACGGGCCCGCAGAGGTCTGATCCCTCGCGTCCGCGCTCTCCGGCAGCGAGGCAGTCGATGGGACGGAGCGCCGCGGAGCAGGAGGCGGCGCCCGTCGGGGGGCTGGGGCAGCGCGAGAGCCCGCCTGGAGGCTCGGGCATGGCGGGCCGCAGGACCTGAGTCCTACCCTGCGGGTAGCAACCTGGTGGCGGGCGATGGGGACGGAGCGGGGCTGCCGCCGCGCTGAGCCGTGAGCGCCGCGCTTCCGCCGCCGCCTCTTCGTCGCCGCCTTGGCCCCTCGCGAAGCGCCGGGCAGCTCGGGAACATGGCCCTGGAGCAGCTCTGCTCGGTCCTCAAAGGTAAGCGCCCAGAGCTGCGGACGGCGCCCCCTGCGGGCGAAGCCGGCGTCTTCGTGTCCCTGCCCGGCTCCGGGCGTCCGACGCGCCCCTTTGTGTGGCGCGAGCGGATCGCGGAGCCCCCGCTCCCGCCGGGATCGACTCGCTCCCCGAGCGCTTCTCCCCAGCCTTCTGCGTGCCGTGGCGGGGGGAACCGGGGAGCTCAACGGGACGCGGCGGCTCGGCCGGCCCTCCGAGCTGTGCCCTCGCGCCTCTTCCTCGGAATTCCGCACATCGCTTTGCAAAGTTGTGGGGTTTGTGTGAGTGGAGCGTAGGCCGCTCTTTTTCAGCATTAGTAACAAAGTCATTCCGAGCAAACAATAAAAACCCCAGCTGAGGCGTCGCGGAGCTGTTCTTGAAAAGCCCCGCGGTGGCGTGCGGCGGAACGGCCTCCCCGCCGGCCGGGTCCCACCTGCTGCGGCCGCGGAGGCTGCGGCACCACTGCGGGCGCCGCTGCTCGGGGCTGTGCCTTGGCGCTTCCCGGGACCTCAGGATACCCTGCCGCCGGTATCTGGTTCTTTATGATTTGTTGTACCGGGAATTAAAACAGTCGGCTTGCCAAGTACACAAAGCTCCAAAACGTACTGCAGCTGCTTTGCATTTTCCAGGAGGTGTTATTTTAGATTAAAATTTATATACATAGATAATTAATATGGTGATAGAAAGTTGTTTCTGAAAATCGGAATGAATAAATCCTGTTTTCGGTCCTCGGAGGAAAATCACCACCACCAATAAAGGGCTTCCCTTTTCCGCTACTGACTTCGATTGAAAACTAAAAAGCTGTGTATTTGTAATGTTATGAAATATTCCCGTTTTTTAAATATTGGATATGGAGTTAAGGCATTGATTAGAGCTTTTCATTGTATCTTGATATTTGTACAGTGAAAAATGTTGGGTTTTTTCCCACTCCATATTAACACTTTTCAAATTTGTTTTACTGGAAAATTCTGTATAATTTTGCTTTAAATTTTAATTGCACAAATTATCTACTGTTAAGATATTCCTAAATTCATAATTGATATTTCAGCAATTTAACTACCCACTGTATACTTATATGTACAGTTTGTGCTAAGGTAACCTAAGACTTTCTATCTGGTGATTGTTTCGCAGTCACCCCATAAATTATTAATGATTTCCTCATTGTATTAAAATTTTATATCTCTGAAATCAATTTCTGTAGTCTTTCCTTTCTGTAACTCTCAATTTATATCGCCATTCCTTGGAAATTAAGATTTTGTTTTACTTTTTCAAAATAAATTCTATGCATAGTAGGGTTTCTGATAGTGCTCCTTATCTGAATTACTTCGTTGTCCTCTTTGCCTTAGGGTGTTCAATAATAATGACATTCCATCTGAGTAGCCCCCTCTGGGGAGAAATCTTGTAGATCTATTATACAGCTTTACCTGCAGAACTTGAAACTGAGCTGGATAGGACGGAATCTCTGATACTCCTGGAATGGTGAAGGGTTTTGCAGTTTTTCTGCCTTTGCCTTTGTCGTTGGTACACACTGCCCTCTCTGGCCACCGTGGTGAAGCATTTAGTTGTTGCACCTTTCAGGAAAGGATTCTGTGGTTGATGGCAGAGCTACAGTGAAAACAATGTAGTATCTGGCTTTTCTTTTTTTAATTTTACCCAACCTACACTATTTTTACATGCTGGTGTATTTTTAAAAGCTCAAGCTAACTTGTTACTGTTAGGCTTACTAGAGAGAAAGCCAGCTATTTTTAAGTCTTCTAAAGTTTATGTATATGTGCTTATAAATATGGGGAATTGGTCTGGAAAGATTCAAGAAATTAACAAAAGTTGATTCTGAGAAAGGGATCTGGGAGACTGAGAAACAAGAGTAAAGGGAAGACTTCTGTTTCACTGCACATCCATTTGTATCACTTGATTTTTTTTTAAACCAAATGCATTTGTTACCTATATAAACATTGGTATTTTTAAAAATCACCTTTTAAAAAATATTGGCTTTTCCCAGTGCTACCATTCATTGTGTGCACCAATGCATGAAAAAGTAGCCCTTAAGTATCCTGTAAGGTGTAAATTGTTTCAACATTGAAGAGGTTCTTATCAGAAGCAGTTATTTAACATTTACTTAATTATGGATATTACCTACCAAAAGCCGCCTTTGGAATATTATGGTCAGTTTCTACTAAAACAAATCAGCCATAATGACTGTGTGAAATTTTAAGTAGAAGGTAACTTTAAGATGCCATTGATTCTTTGTTCTACTTCCAGCAGTGAGAACAAAAGGATAACTCTGCTGGGCTTTTAAACCTTTCATATATTGTTAAATCTGAATAATTCACTTTTAACTGTTTATGATCACTCCAGGTCTTATAAAATTTGATTTGCCTTCTATCAAAGTTAAGTATCATAGTCACATGAAAATATTACATTAGTTTTATAATCCCGTTTTTCACTGTTCATATTCATTCTGCACACTTGCTTCAGGAGAATCCTATTAGACGCAGTTACATTTAAATCTGTATAAACTGTGGTTAAATTTATGGTGTTACAGTGCATAACTATCCCTTGGCACTATATTTTAAAAATCTTATCTGAGACTGTGACAAATATTAACTCCTGTCCTTCATCCTTAAGCCTCTTACAAGAAATTAAACCGTACAGAAATAAGTACCATAATGAGAAGTTATCCCTTTAATAGGGAAGTTTTTAAACATAGCCTTGGGAAAAATTAACTTTTTGACTTTTTCCCCCCGAATTGGAGAAAATATTTTAATACTGACAGTTGAAAAGTTATCTGTGTTTTGAAGCCAAACTCACCTTTTAGGAAAAACATGCAGCCCTGTAATACACGTACATGTGCATTACAAAACAAGTTCAAATCAAAGCCATTTTCAGTCCTTTTAGGAATAAGATAGAAAAAAGATAAACTATAAGTAAAGTTCATATCTAAAATTCTAAAAAATAATCCAAGTTCTGCCCTTGGTTACTACCCATTCAGCACAATCTCCTGTCATTTTAAAATTTATGATCCTGCACAGTAATTTTTTTTTTTTTTTTTTTTTTGCCTGTGGCATGCGGGATCTTAGTTCCCCGACCAGGGATCGAACCCATGCCCCCTGCATTGGGAGCATGGAGTCTTAACCACTGGACCTCCAGGGAAGTCCCTGTTGGTTTTGGGTTTTTTTTAATGTGTCCCTGGGGCGCTTTGAGATCCTAGTTATTGTGGTGTTTGAGTTAGAAAGGGGAATCCTAAAAGGTGATCTAATCCAGTGGGTTTCCAAACTTTCCTTAACAGAACTCCCTCAGAGGAACTCTTATGAGTGGGTACTTAAAAACTAAACAAAGAACAGATAAGAACAAGGTTGCTCTGATTGCTGAGGGCCCTCACCCTCTCAGTCGCTAATCAGAGTGGCCCCCAAAGAACTAACGCTCTTTAGCATCTTTGTTCACAAAATTACAGGGTGTACTAATCTGAAAGTTCAATTCGTCCTAGTCAAAATGACATTAAAACATGTTGGTTTAAATATGCCTAGAGTAATGTATTGGAAGTTACAGCCTTAGTGGGTGAGAAGATATCAAATACTCTTCAAAATGTGACCTGGTCGTGTTAAAGTCTGATGGTAGTTGTTGTGGATGTCTGAGGATTCCTGTATAATTAGAGCATACAAAACTGCCATCTCAAGAGCATTTGACTAACAAGAAGGTTGTCACATTCTGCAGGAAAGAGAAAGCACTTCTGCAGTTACTCTTTCTTATAAGTGATTGGCAATGTGATTAGCACGTGGAGGGTGGAGTGATCCCAAAGTTCACCAAGATCCATCTTCTTTCTTAACTACAAAGTAAAATCGAGTTTGATTAAATTAGGGTACTTTTCTGTTCTTTGGAACATAGCTAATGGAAAACAAGTTACTACTACCTCAAGTAGTATATGGACTCTAATTGAACTCCATTTTGCTTTCATTATAGAAAATAGGAGCAGGGAGACCAGTTAGGCGGTTCTTAAGTTATGGAGTCTCATGATAGGGTTACCAAACCTTATGTTTACTGCTTAGATGCTAAAAATAGGAAGGCTGAGAAAGAGGTACATTTAATTACTAACAAAGGTAAATTGAGTCAGCTTGAGAAAAGTAAGAGTAGTAGCATATCTGAAAAATTAAAAAAAATCAATTCTTTTTCTGTCCCCTGATTTATGCTCAAATAAGCTGGGTCATCTCTGTGCCTGCTGTTAACCAAGATGTGTGCTTGTTAATTTGTTAGTGGGGCTCTGTACTATATGTTATAGTTACAAAGAAAGTATAATCAGGATTTTGCGTAGTCACTTCATGTATTCATCTAATTTTTTTGAGTTCTGTTATGGGCCAGCCAGTCTTCTAGTCGCTAGAGATGCATCAGTGGTTCAGAGAGACAAGTCCCTCTTTCTAGTAGGAAGAGACAGATAACAAGCAAGAAAATAGCAGGTAATATAAGTAATAATTAAAATATTATTTGTATAATAAAACAAGATGAAGAAGAAAATGTAGAGCTTCTTTAGCAGTCGGAGAGGCCTCAGAAGACCTGAATAACAGGAAGGAACCAGCCATGCACAGAGAGTCTAGGCAGAAGGAATAACTAGTCCCTATGGCTAGAATTAGCTTGGTGTGTTAAAGTAATGGGAAGAAGAGCTGTGTAGCCATAGATGGTCAGGTGCCACACCACATAGGACCTCTGAAGTCAGAATAAGGAGTATGGATTTATTCTAGATGTAATGGGACTCTGTTGGAAGATTTTATGAAAGGCTGTGATATGATGTGATTTATGTTTTGAAAGGATCTCTGGCTGCCGGGGACAGAGTAGGCTATAGGGGACTATGGCAGAAATAGCCAGTTTTCTTCCAGTATCCATTTTACCTTTCAGTGATTCTCTGAATTTTAACTAAGCACACAATCACCCAAAATAAATACTAGATTTTCCAGCTTTCCTTAGGATTAAGTGTGGCCATGTGACTAAATAAGGCT